CCCAACAGCATCAAAAATGTACCATCAAAAGGTTTGTCAGTTGATTATTGATAGTGGCAGTTATGAAAACATAATCTCAAAATCCCATGTAGACCACCTATTAGTAGTCAACAGAGTCACATCATGAATTGCAGAAACTAGAAAGGATCAAGACCACCATGGTAAGCCACTATTTTTTGTATTCCTCTCACAATTAATAGAATTTTCAGAGATTTCTCTCCATTTTTCCTCATAGATTTCAAGGTGTTGACTGCAGGTAAACTAGCTTATATACACGTTAATTCTGCATCATTATGGCAAGAGTGTTAGGCATTCATCCCATTCTACTAGATTTGCTAACAAGAACTACCTAAGATATCATCATGAAGGTTACGTATACGTCCTTTCTTGTGATAGCTAATTAGACCCAACTGTTTTTTTCTAAGGACAAGCATTGCAAAGGACTATTTACATAGGTACTAAATGTTCAACATTGAGAATACAAGGTGAACCAGAAACGAAATTGGTGGGTCCTGCTAATATTGGTAGTCATATGGAAAGCCAAGAGGTTCTAAAAGACCCAAATGGCTGCATGGGGTGGGTTTGTGAAAGAAAATTACAATGGGAAGGAAGAATTTTCAGAAATATATATATGGAAGAGTGAATCTAGGCAAAGGGTGCTTATTCAAAAAAGATATATATATATAGGCAAACGGTGAGTTTTTGGTCAGCGAATATGGAGATGAAATTTTTGAACAACATTTTCACACTATTTTCTGCACTGCAAGGAACAAAGAAGAAACAGAGGCGGAATCTTTCTCATATGAAGTGCCAATGGATGTTGGGTAGTGAACTTGGTTAGAAACCTAAATTATTAGAAATAAATTAATACACCAATCTAATCCGAAGGAAGCTTTGGATGACATTCTGGAAACTCCATTCAGAGGAAGTTTTTTCAGTAAAATCCTACTATCTTCATTTGGCAAAGAATGTAACAGTTAAGGTGAACTTTACATGGAAACTAAACTAAAGCTTCATCTAATGGCCTTTTTTGCATGGGAGGTGACAAGATGTTATATCTTAACTTTGGATAATCTCACAAAAAGAGGAATAGGCTTGGTGAACATGTGTTATTTGTGCAAGAATGATGCGGAGACAGGCAGCCATCTTCTTCTGTTGTGTCCTTTCACTTCTCGGCTTTGATCAATACATATATCTTCATGAGAGTTAAATTGGGCAACGGCAGTTTCAGTGAGATAGGAAATCTGGGCTTGGACAGATGTTCAAACGAATAAGTCTCTCAAAAAGAGTGCTAGTTCTATTCTGTTGGCTACTTTATGGGTTATTTGGAAGGAAAGAAATAGAAAAGCATTTGATGATGTAGAATTTCTTTTGATAAAATCGAAGATACTTGGTTTCAAACCTTAAGTTTTTTTATTAAGACTCATCCTCTATACGCTTAGGAGGATTTAGAAAATTTGATTTAATTATTGATAGACTTGTAAAGCTTTTATATGCGGGTTGCATCCCCTTGCGCCTTAAATACAAAACTTTTTATTTTCAAAAAAAGATTGGTACTCCATCTATCAAAAGTTCAAAAAAAGATTGTTACTCCATCTATCAAAAGTTAGAGTGATTAGGTGACCCATCTATCAGCGGATGGGGATAGAAACTAAACACACCGTTAGTGTGATTACCACCAATATAAAAACACTAATCCAGAGAGTATGTTAGGTTAAGTTTGAATGAAAACTTTTCAGATCTCTAATAGTCCCTCTCATTCTTTTTCTATCACTCTCTTTGTTCTATTTCTCATTTACCTTAGTTCTATATCACCTCTCTTCCCTTTATTCTTATATTTCCCTCCCTCCTACCTTCCCCTTCTCCACTTTCCCTCTGTTCTCTACCCAATCTGTTTTCATCAATTGCAATCATAGGTGCTTGTGCTGCATCAAAAGGTTCTTTATGGACCTAAGAGTAGAACTTAATCAGTTTTATGTCATCAATTGCAACCTCACCCGCTCTGAAAAATTTCTTATCTATTAGTTTAAATTGCTAAACTCTCACATCTGTTGGAATGTAATAAAACTGCAAGCCACCATTCTTTTCTTCAAATCCCAATGTGCTAAAACCAACCAACCTGCTAAACCATTTTAAGTACGTAAAAACCTTTCAGAATCTCCCCCTGATCTGTAGCCTGAAAACTTCATTTTCCATCAAAAAAGAAAAAAAAAATGTTCTCCTCTTTCACCTCTCTTTTTTTTTTTAAATAAAAAGTGCTAATGTGGTCTCGTCCTTCACCTCTTAAGCTTGTTCAACTAATTTCTGCATGTTTCCTCAAGTTTGCAGTTCTCTAAATTCGATTTATACTCAAGTTTCCCATTTAATCTATCCAAAAATTGATGTAGGACTATGCCAACTCCTTTTAAGTTAAGATCAAATATGAAACATGAATGTAATTTTACATTATTGCCAACTTCACTAAACATACACATCAATTATGGAAGCTTGAAAGATGAAGGATTAAGAGCTAAACCAAAACATCACACCTACGGATTCTTAAATATCATACTTTAGAAGAGAATTTCTAAACTGCTGTGAAATTCTTTGAGCATAGCTCTTTTCACTATGAAAGAAATAACAAAATATCTATGATCCCTAATTCAATCCTATTCT